AAAAAGAAAATATTTAATATATCAGAAATGCTCCTTCCAATCCTAATTATAACTAACAACCACTACTATTTTTCACTCCAGAATATACAAAACAAAAACGTATTATCAAATGCATTACTTGTTAAATTCTTTCAATACCTTTCTTGTTTTTTTTAGGATTTTTATTATCAAGGCACTCATCCATTGTCTATATAAGTAGATATATTCATTATTTAATAAATGAGTTATTAATTTGATAATTATTACCATGAAAATTTTTAAAACATATTATAAATTTATTACATATAACTATTGGTTTATAGTTTTGATGAATTAGCTATTTTTGTTTCATGTCCAAAAGCCTAGAAAGAGTATAGAAATATAATAAATAGTTTCTTTTTTAAGGAAAACTTTTCACTTTTAAATGCTTAAAAATGTTAACATCACGTGTTACTATAACTTTCATGTAATGGCACAAACAAAATGTATAAGCATAATTCTAAATACTCTTATTTTTTTATGTCTATAAATTTGTCTAATTATTAGAAAAATTTAAATATTTATGTTTTCAAGATAATAAATATATGTACTTTTTTATTTAATACATAATTTATAAAAGCATTAGGAAAATTATTAGGAGAATGTGGAGGTTAATATAACAAAACTCTATTTATAATACTCACTTGGGTTTGAAAGAGAAATAGAAGCTGATCCAGCAAGAGAAGATGGCTTAAGCTTGACATGGATGAGAATCACAGTTGAACCTTTGATGAGGAGATGGTCAATGGCCCATTTGAGTGCATTCTGGCCTCCCTTCTCTGTGTCTATAGCCACTGCCACTATCCCATTCACCCCATCCTTCTTGTCCCAGTGATGATTCTTTTGCAGCCACATTACTCTCTCTCCCTTTTTCTTCCAAAAACCTCTTGCAATATCTTCAACTTTTCTCTTATCTTCCAACGAAAACAAACCCAAAAACCAAAACTCTTATCAAAGGGTCCTCAAAAGTTTCTTTTTTATTTTTATTTTTCTTTTTTTTATGTTTGTTGTTTTGTATTTGGGTCCTATGATGAAGAAAAGGCCATGCCACTTTTTTTGTGACAAGGGAAATGGTTTTCAAGAACAATGCAGGTTAACTTGCTTCGTGTTTTGAATCTCTTCTGTCCCTCCTTCAATGCTGAGAGACAAAAGGACTTGGATGTGTTTAATTTGTGTACTTTGTGTCTTTTGGTGTTTGAAACAATTAGCAACAAAAGGGTATGGTATAGGGAAACGACTAGTATTCCTCTAACTGAAATTTGCAGCCATTTTTGGTTTCCTTTTTAGCTTGTTTGAGCCTTTCATGGACCTAATAACCACAAACATTGTGCTCTCTCTTCCCCATGAGAGAATAACCAAACTTTGCGGGTTACCTCTGACTTTGTCCCTTCCCGAAATTGGAAGACAAAATATTAAGAAAATTTTTGACTTTTTAATGTCTTTTTTTCTCCCTCTTTTTCTTGGAAGTTTTTACAGAAAAAATATTAAAAAAATTAAAAAATACATAAAAGAACCGACCACACATATATTTACAAAAGTAGACTCATTCACTGTAGTATGCACTCCTCAAGAACAAAAATTTTGATGTTATTTTTTTTCAATTTTTTTTAATATTTTTATATAATAAAATAAATTTTATTATTTAAATTATATTTATATATTTATATTTTGTTATGTGAAATTGAATAAAAATAATAATAATATTTATTTTACATAATTATGATAATAAATAATATTTTTAGAAAATAATAATAATTACATTTTTAAAAACTAATTAAAATATTTAAATAATAAGTATATTATTTAAATGAGTAGGGAAATACATCAATGCATATGCTTCTCCACTCATTTCAATCGATTATAATAAGTTGGGATCATGAATAATTTTTTAAACCATTCGTTAAATTATTGAGACTGATCCATCCACACTCATTGCAACTATTTTAGCCTACATAAAGTCTACAATATGTTACACAATCAGCTATAAAAAAGGATGGTTAGGGAAACATGTCATTGAAAATATCTTTAAAAATTGGGAGGAGTCATATCATAAGTTACCTAGACAGTTGCTTGCAATGCAACTACATGTTTCGAGCTTCATTTGAAAATTGAGTACACAACTGGCATACAAGGGTGACTTGCTTGACGAGGGAAATGTGTTTTTCAAGAAGTTGTTTTGGACCTTGAAGCCATGTATTGATGGTTTTGCCTTCTGCAAACTAATTGTTCAAGTGGATGGAATATTTTTGTATAGTAAATACAAATGGACTTTATTAGTGGCAGTAGCGCAAGACGGCCGCAACAACATAATTCTCATTGTCTTTGCTGTGGTTGAAGGTGAAACTAGCAATGCATGGTTCTTTTTTTAAAAAAACTTAAGATGGTACGTAACCCCACAAGAGGAGTTGTGCCTTATTTTGGATCGTCACAAGGCCATAAGAAGTGCATACTCCAGAAATGGAAGTGGTTTGACAGAAAACAATTCTATCCATGTCTATTGCATTAGATACATTGCACAAAACTTCATGTGACGATTCAAAAACGCTACACAGAAGAAAAATGTTATCAATATGGGTAATTTTAATTTTTTTACGTACTCTATATTATCATTAAATTTTATACAATTGTTTAGCCAATTATATTAATTTAATTTGTAATCTTGTTCCAGCATATGGGATGATTGAACTGAGATTCTTTTATTATTACAACATAATAAAAGATAATAATCTTGAAGCTGCGCAATGGTTGGACACATCCCAAGGAAAAAATGAACACTGACACGGGACTACGAATGACGCTGGAGATACATGACAACAAACCTAACAGAGTCAATCAATTCGGTTTTGAAGAAAATAAAAAACTTGCCAATTTGCTCAATGGTCATAGAAACATACACCTGTTGCAATAAGTTCTTCATTGACAGAGGCAAGGAAATAAATGCAATGATTAATGTTGAACATATACTCGAAGGTTGCAACTAAAACAATTCAAGATGCACGGTCAAAAGAGAATACTCATAGAGTTATCACCTTTGACAGAACAAACACTAAATTTTTAGTTGAAGAAACACAACATCCAACAGAAATTCGACTCGTAGAAAGATTTACAGTACAGTTAGATGAGATGTAGTGTGATTGGCAAGTTCCAAAATGTTTACATCTCTTGCTCGCATGTACTTGCTTTATGCTTACACACACACCACAACTTTGACATCTACATTTCTTCCATGTATACCTTACAACAAGTTTCTAAGGTATGCGAAGGTCAGTTTAGAGAAATCAGACATGAAGACTATTGACCAATTTACACGGACTCAACTTTGTGTCCAAATTCAGAACTGAAAAGAACTTCAAAGGGTCGACTCAAGTCTAATAGGATAAGGACAAAGATAGACATTAGAGAATAACAAAGTCGGCCAAAAAATTGTTTTTATTGTCACACTCCTGGTCACACAAGGAAGACATGTCCAAACATTGCTCAAGCTTCTAATTTCTGCCATTAATTTATGTCATTGTTATTACTTTAAAATTTTCTTCATGTAATTTTTAGTTTTATGAATGTCATTGCAACTTATAAATTTTTAGTATTAGTAATTTATATTAAATATATGATTATATATATATATATATATATATCTACATAATATTATTTAATAATATTTATTAATATTAATAACATATTTTTTTAAAATAAATAATTATATATAAATTTTAATAAAAATTAATATCTCAAATTAAATAAATAAACTTATTATTATTTAATACTTTTATTTATTTTATAAAAATATAAAATTAAATAAATTATTATTGTAATTTTTATTTTATACAAATTTAAAATTAATTCAATTATTATTGTAATTTTTATTTTTTTTAAAAATTTAATATTAAATAACCAAAAATATAATTTCAGAATATAATATTAATATCATTTTACAAAAATAAAAATTATATTAAATAATATAATAAAAAAATAAAAATATAATTTGTTATCATAATTATATAAAATTAATTTTAATAAACATGTAAAATAAATATTATTATTATTTTTATTCATTTTTACATAACAAAATATAAATATATAAATATAATTTAAATAATAAAATTTATTTTATTATATAAAAATATTTAAAAAATTTGAGAGAAAAAATAATGTCTAGATTTCGATTCTCAGGGAACCGAATTTTGGCTGCCTCAATGCATGCAACATGCTACAGTAAATGGGTCTACTTGTGTAAATATATGTGTGGTTGGTCCTTTTATATAATTTTTTTTTCTATAAAAATTTCCTTTTTCTTGTCATGTCCGCTATTAGATTTTTATTTTTATTTTTTGAGTTTCATGTTTTAATACCGTTTTACGGGATATGAAATAATATTGCATTAAAAATTACATTATTCATATAACATTTTGTATAATGATATTTTTTTTCTAATTTTCTTTTATTATATCATTTATTTTACTGCCTATTTTTTTTCTTATTTTTAAATTTATTTTTATATAAAATCAAAGTAAAACTAGCATTCTCTAATGTCAATGCGTATTCATTACATCAATGTAGTCATGCAAGCATTGGGGCTTATAAATAAAAAGAAGAAAAAGAAAAACTTATGCATGATAGTGAAATTATTATCAGGTTAAAATTAGTTAAGCATTATATTTTATTTTGGTAATCATTGTTGCCATCAGTTTTATCTTGGCAACTAAAATTGGTATGTGTATATATATATGATAAAAGTTGGAGTTAATGAATTAAGCATAAATTAAAAAATATATAAACAATAAACTATAAGTTGAAATTGTAAATAAATGACTCAAGTTCAGTAGTATCTCTCTTACCATTACTACGGGACTCACGTTAAAAATTGGAACCATCGTGTGAATGTTCTGTCTGAAACCCAACCAGAGTTGTGTCTCTGAAATGCTCGTAACTTTTGTTCCAATTGAAATCTTCACTTTTTTTTTTTTTATTGTTTTATTGATGCAAAGAAACTTATCATCGGTGATGAGTCCAAACATAACTTCCAGAATTTTACCCAAAAGAAAACCCCTTCATAGATTCGCACTGTGTGTCCTTATAGTGTTTTCCATTTTGTATCTTTGCTATACAAAATCTAATTCCCAATTCCCTGCACTGTACAAGATTTCAGCCTCAGAAGATCCTCAATGCTCACGCCAAGCCCTAGCAATTGGGGAGAAATTCATGTGGTACGCACCTCACAGTGGTTTCAGCAACCAGCTTTCGGAGTTCAAGAATGCAATTCTAATGGCAGTTATACTCAATCGAACTTTGGTGGTTCCTCCAATTCTTGATCATCATGCTGTTGCCCTTGGTAGCTGCCCAAAGTTTAGGGTTTTGGATCCGAAGGAAATTCGAATTTTGGTGTGGGATCATGTGATTGAGCTCATTAGGAGTGGACGCTATATCTCCATTGCTGAAATTGTTGACATATCATCGATTGTTTCGTCCTCTTTTGTTCGCGTGATTGATCTTAGGGATTTTGTGTCAATATGGTGTGGTATAAGTTTAGATATGGCTTGTTTAGAAGATACGAAGTTGAGCTCTTCGATTTTTAGAAGCTTAAAGCAATGTGGATCTTTGCTATCTGGGCTTAATGGGAGTATTGGAAACTGTTTATATGCTGTTAATGAAGATTGCCGAACTACGGTGTGGACTTATCATGAAGATGGTCATGAGGATGGCATGTTAGATTCATTTCAACCTGATCAACAATTGAAGCAGAAAAAGAAAATATCTTATGTTAGGAGACGCAAAGACGTGTTTAAGACTCTTGGACTGGGTTCTGAAGTTGAATCAGCCTCGCTCCTTGCGTTTGGAAGCCTTTTCTCTGCCCCTTACAAAGGTTCTCAATTATATGTTGATATGCTTCAAGACCAGAAGCTTGAAGCTTTGATGGAGAAGATTAAGTTTCTTCCATTTGTCCCTGAAATTATGACTGCTGGAAAGGAGTTTGCTAAAGCCACCATAAAGGCTCCGTTTCTTTGTGCGCAACTTAGACTGTTGGATGGGCAGTTTAAGAATCATCAGAAGGCTACATTTGATGGGTTAAGACAAAAATTAGAATCTTTGAGGCAGAAGGGTCCTCTACCTATACATGTTTTTGTGATGACTGATCTTCCTAGAGATAATTGGAGTGAAACTTACTTGGGTGATTTGATAAGTGATGCACATAACTACAAGGTGTATTTCTTCAGAGAGGATGATGACTTGTTTAGGCGAGCAGCAATAAAACTCGTGGCAGCTGGTCATGGACAGAGGTTCGCTTCAAATTTGGATAATACAAGTGGGAGAAAATATTGTTCCACTCAGAAATTACCGAATCTGCTTCTTTATGTTGAGCAGACTGTATGCAGCTGTGCCTCTCTTGGTTTTGTTGGTACTCCTGGGTCGACTATTGCGGAAAATATAGAACTCATGAGAAAATTTGCCTCAAGTTCTGGGCAATGTTGATGATGGCTTGTGGAGAATCAGTTATGTTATAGGGTTTTGAGGATTTATAGGATGAAAGTTCAATCTTGTGTAGTAACCAAATCTTTTCTTCAATAATTCTTCAACAGTTTTAATTTGGTGATTGAAGTGATTCTTTCTATGAAGGAAATCTCCACTTTTTTTTTTTGAAGAACCCTAGCTTCATGTAATAAATTCTGAACCTCAACTTGGAAAATTAGTCAAATTGGATGCTACTTTATCCACCGTTAGGGTCAACCAACATAAATAAAGTTTTCCCGTTGTTTTCCCATTTTGTTCCTCTACAATGAAGTTTGCAGTTATCTCGTACACCAAATAGAAAATACAACAAAAAGAATGCTTCATTAACAACGACTTCAACGAAAAAATGAATCACCACATTCACTCAACCTTCTTCGCTCATTGACTCTCATCCATCACTTTCTTTCATTCCATATTTTTATTTCACATTCTCACCTTCTCTTCTATTTGAACCTTCCAACTCTTTGATAATGACATTCAAGTATAATTTATTTTCTTAATTTTATTTCGTTATTTAAATTAATTTCATAAACTTTTAAAAACACGTGCTGCACCTTTCTTATTGCCATTTACCACCATTATTATAAAAGTGTTGCACTCAAGTGTATTAAAGGTGGTAAATGGTAAATTATAATTCCTCAATACATTAATGTTGCACTCAACTCTTCTCCTCCTGGAGTCTCTGATTGTAGTGTGTTTGTCCACAACCCTGGTCCTATTTGAGGCAAATTTGACCTAGAAACAATTTTTCTCCCTCACAAAAGGGACACAAGTGCTGTTGTCCCTCCACAAGGAATTTTCATGTTTCTTGTGACACCACATTCCTTGCACATCAACCTTTCTTTCTAAATGTTTCCCTTCAGGGGGAGAATCCAAGTGAAGCTACGGATTTGAACCCTTCCATATGCCTTCCTATCTTACTTCCACTTCATCTTTAGAAGAGCCTACATTTCTAGAACCTGAACATATAGAGCTTACAATCCGTGGAGAACCCCACCAAAACAAAACAGAGCTTTGAGTCTACTCTAGGAGACCATGAATTCCTACCAACCACCAGAACCAGTGCCAAATAAAGTGGAAGCAGCACTGCCAAATTTGGTAGAAGACACACAAGTTGAGGAAGGTAAGTGCACAATTAATGATTCACATGCTGCTGTTGATGATCTTGATATTTCTATTGCCATTAGAAGAGGAGTTAAGTCCTACACTCAACATCCCATATCTAATCATCTCACCTATTCCAAGTTGTCAACAAAGTCCAGGGCCTTTGTTACAAAGATAAATAAATGGAGATCCAATTTGGAGAGGTGCTGAATGGAAGAAACGAATGCTCTGAATGAAAACTAACACGGGATGTATAGAGCTTCCAAAAGAAGAAAAGGTGGTGGGATGCAAATGTAGTAGGAGCTGATGGAAACATGGGCTGATACAAGTCTAGGCTGGTAGAACAAGGGTATACTCAAACCTATGGTATTGATTATGAAGCAACCTTTGCACCAGTAGCAAAACTAAACTCCATGAAAATCCTAATTTCTCTTGCTGCAAACTGTCACTAGGATTGCCCCAAATAGATGTGAAGAATATATTCCAAAATGGAAGCTTGGATTTGAAGGAAAATATAAATTAGGCATAATGTGCAAGATGAAGGAGTCCTTATATGGACTAAAACAATCCCCTAAGGCATCTTGGCTATGAAACAATTTGGGTACACACAGGGGAAAGCGGATCACAGCCTCTTTGTTAAACAAGATGAGAACAGGAAGAAGGTGGTGGTTATTGTCTATGACGATGATATAGTCATTAATAGCGATGACAACCAACAAATTGAGAGGCTTAAAGATAGACTTTTAGCAGAATTCAAAGTCAAGGACCTTAGGCAGTTTAAAAATATTTTTTGGGAATGAAAATGTATTTTCATTTCCCAAAGGAAATATATCCTTGATCTACCAAGCGAGGCTAGAAAATTGGGGTGCAAGGCTGTTGGAATGCCTTCGGACTGTAATTGGAATTTGGACCTGAATGCAGAACACAATCTGGTAGAAAAAAGGAATCCTACCAGCATTTAGTAGGAAATTGACCCACCTATCTCCCACTAGATTGGACATTTCTCAGTGGAAGTGTAGTGAGTCAGTGTATGCTTTCTCCTACTATGAGACATTTAGAAGCTGTATGTTAGAATCCAATTGCAAGGTATGAGACTCGAGTCACACATTAGAAGTATGAGATTCTAAAGTGGAGTTTATAAGGTCTTGGGCTCTCCAACTATAACAATTAGCTTTTGTGGTGTAGTTCTCCCAAAATCTTATCAATTGGTATCAGAGGTTTCCACCATGATTCTCATCTGTGCAAGGTGTCCGTGAACGTATTTGAACAAATAAGCTACTACACTACCCATTTATTCCACTTGAAGTTCCTATGAAGCTGTGCAGTGATAGTAAATCAGCTTTCAGCATAGTTCACAACCCTATATAACACAACAGGATGAAGCGGCGAGGATTGATCAAAACTTCATAAAGTCAGAAATGAAAAGTGAAACTTTCAGCCTACACTGGATTCCAATAAAGTCACAAGAAGCTGGTATGAGCACAAAATCCTTGCAGAAGGCAAAATTTGAACCAAATGCTAGCAAGCTAGGAATGATTGACATCTATTCACAAGCTTGATCGCCTGTATATTTGTAATTATTAGGAGAATATTCTTTCCTATTTTTTATATTATCTGATTAGTAGCTAAAGTTTGGCGATTTATTTCTTTTTTCTTTTCCTGATTTTAACCTTGACTGCTAGTCCTTTTGCTATCGTAAAATGATACACACGAATTATCCTAAAACTGTTTGTTACAGATAATAATCGCTTTATTATCCAAAGAAAAAATACGCATTAAGAAATGTAAAGATAACATAATCAAACTTCGATGTTGAAGCAAACTCTATAGTACAGACATCGAGTATCCAGTACAGATATAATACGACATACGAGTACTTCACCAAATTTAATATATTTGTGCATCATAGTTGAAAACACACCCTTGTTTGTATAATCTTAGTAAAATAAGAAGTTTTAAAGTACTATTGATTCAATACAGTAAAGGTTCATCATATTGATCCTATTTTGAGCAATGTGTTAGCTGTCCAAGTTACTAAAATAATCATAAAATTGTTCAATGATGAAATGACTACCAAGTTCTTGAAAATGATCGATGTTGTTGAGGAACCAAAGAAGCTAAAAGAAATTTGTAAGCGTGTTTATAACTCCTATATTACCGCCTTGAAACCTACTAAAAAAGAATTATCGCCTTTCATAGTAGCTGATATGGAAACAGTTTTGATCAATAACATACAAGCGCCTTATGCTGTTGGTTTCTTAGTGGTTAGGCCTATGCAAGATTTCATAAACTCTCTTCTCATGACATTCAGCCATCAACTCGACTAATGCCATTCTTGCTGCATCCATCATCACCAATCAACAGTTGTCACCACCAAACATGTCCTTAGCATGCGTTGGTCATAGCTCGAGTTTTAGCCATGAGATTCATGGCTTTTTGTTGTCTCCAAATCCACCCCATGTTATCACTCTTTCTTTTGTCTTAATTTCAAAGTTCCCCCCCTTAGAGATGCAGCTCTCTGTTCCCTCTCTGTTCTGTGTTATTATTGTTTTCCTCAATTTTATCTAACGATAGCTAGGAGTAAAGCGGAAAAGGGTTCTTAATTAGTAGTAGTTGGTTATAGAGGGTGGTAGTACTTTTTTCTCCCTACATACACTAATCTCTCATTTTGATTTACTGTTAAATGGTGAATTTGTTAAATCTTGAAAATTATAGACATAATCCTTTTAGATTTTGTTTTGAAGTTTCTAAAATATGGAAACAGTTTTTTTTTTTAATTATACAATTATTAGTAATTTTTTCAATCATGTTTTTCAAAAGAACTCTAAATAAATGGGACTCTCATAATTATTCGAAGTGCTTTTATTTATTCAAATATGATTCAATTCATGATACTAACATGAAGTGCACATTTTCTTTCCTCTACTATATTATGGCCTATTTGTTTATCAATAAATACATCTTTATACAATCAATATCAATAATCATTAAATATTTATAAGAAATAAAATAAACATTTTCAATCTTCTCTCTCTATAGATATAGATGTAGATATATATAGTATTGTATTTTTTTCTATAGTTATTTATATTCTTTTTAATTTGTTAGAATACAATTAATATAGAAAAATATAATATTACTTCTAGTTAGAAAGTAAAACAAGTTAAAAATCAGAATAAATATTTGCATGCCAAAAATTTGAAGAAAAAAAAAAATGCACTATTGCATACAAACTTTTCTGCTCATATTAACATGCAATATGAGGCTTCTGAACTGAGTGTAAGGCACACAACCTTGAAAAATGTAGCTAGACTTTCCCAAACAGTGTCAATCTACCCACAACACAGACACATTTCCTTACAGAAGCTCACAATATATACTTTATTCTTAAATTGTAATAGCAGCTTGAAATAACATATTGATTATATGAAGTTTTCTTGTGTTCTACAGGTTCTTCAATTCCATCACTACAAAAAAAGTAACAAGTCCATACAAAACTTAATGTGATACATTGTTTACAATCTTTCATTTATGTTGACCTTTTCTACACAACTTGGGTGAAGGTCATAGTCACAGACATCACAAGAGAATGCCCAGAATTTCCCCTTCATTTTACAGAAATCACACATATATGCTTTGGCCATATCCAATTTAAGTACATGTTCGTGCTTCACATCCTCAGCTTGTTGTGGCAAAGCCTTTCCTTCCTCCCTCAGAGCTACTTCAAGGTCCCTTATCCTTGCTTCGGTAAAGGGGAAAGCTTCTGCCCCATATACTGAGACCATAAACTTCCCATTCATACTAATGACTTTACCATTTGGTCCAATGATGACTAACGATGGTATTCCTTTGATATCAAAGATTCTACAAAGGTCATGCCTTGCTCTGTCCTCATATGGGACAGCAAGCCATGGCATAGTACTTATGTTGACATTGAATTCCTTATGGTCTCTATCTGTGGAGATCAAAACAACCTCAAATAAGTGGTCTTTTGCTGTCTTGAGTTGGTTGTATGCATCTGTAAGTTGGACAGTGAAGGCACTACAAGGAGGAGACCAGTATGCACAAAAATAGAGGCCTATTGTTTTACCTGTGAGTTCAGATACATGTACCTGCAAAAATAAGATATGTCATTTAAGATCTTAACTGAGTGAACTCACATACTAATCCCTAAGATAAAAAGCGTCAATCACTTTAATCTCTGATTTTTCTAAATTCTCATTTAGTGTGTATTTAGTTTAACTTATTTTGAAGTAATAATTACTTTTAACTTATGAAAAATAACTAATTATTTGCACAAAAAACTATTGAGGGTTTCTTAAAAATATGCTGTTGCATAGTGAGTTGTAAGGTTAAGGTTGTTAATGAGAGAGAGAGAGAGAGAGAGAGAGAGAGAGATGGGGTTGCATTAAAAAGAGAGTTACTTATACAAGCAACCGTTGTATATGGAAAAATGGGACACACATATATATGAATTCAAAGTAAGAAAACTATGCAAGTCTTCTCTAGTTGTATGGCCAAAGATGTTTAGTACTTCAATCCTTTATGCCAGTGAAAAACATGCTCGTAAAAAATTAAAATGAATGATCTTTTGAAAAGTGAGAGACTAAAAAACAGTTCAGAAAAGTCAAAAACTAAAATAATTGTCACTTACAATCTCAGGGGCTATTTTAGGTAAATAACATCTCCTGGCAAGATTAGGCTACCTTTCTATCATCTCCAGAGATGAGAAAGTTGCGTCCTTCATGTGTCAGTAATTCTTCCAAATTTGCCTCATTGCGCTTTCTTTCATCTATGGCTTTCAATTCCTCACATCTATTTCTTGTGAAAGGGAATGCATCAACACCATAATCTTCAATGTAACCAATCAAGTCTTCTTCAACCCTTATGCCAACAGAGGATAAAGGAATGAAGGATGGGATTCGCTTAACTCCATATCTATCAATCAACCTTCTGTGCAAATTTGCATCAAATGGGACAGCTAGCCATGGCATACTCTTAATGTGTTCTTTAAATCCATTCTCATCATGGTCAAAGGAGACAAAAATGATCTCTACACTCTTGTCTCTCTCTTTCAGTGTGTCATAAAGTTCAACCAGATGGGGGATGAATGCTCTACAAGGCCTGCACCAGTTTGCAGAGAAAAATAGGCAGATGGTTTTTCCATTGCATTCTGACAAAGGTACCTAATCTCATTATTCATAGATAGCAATATATTAGCTACTATAACCCTGATCACATATAAGCTAAAAGAAGAATTCTTTTCTTTTAATTGGATTTTAGTTTACCTTCTTTTTTATGTACAGTTGTGTTAATTTTAGTTCTTTGAATTGATTCTAAATGTCTAAAAATAATATATTTCTATTGAAAAAGAAAATATGTATTACACTTTTGTGTTCTTGATATAATAAATGTTTTCTTTCCCAATGAAAGCTTACCAATTTTATTTGCGTAAAATCATCTCTAGGAATTTTTGTTAACACTTTCCTTTTACTTATTGGGATAATAAAGAAAGAAAAGAAACTTCCAATTATGGTTTAAAGTTACTGTTTTTAGTTAATATAAAGTTGATTTATTTAACCAGAAATCTATTGTACACTCAAACACACACACACACACACACAATAGAGGCTTTTGCAGAAACTAAATTACCTTCCCTTCACAGGACAAAAGGAACTCAACCCCTTCAGCTGCAAAGATCTTCAAAATATTATTGGTGTCAAGGTATTTTGCTTCATAACCCATCCCTGCCATCTGAACTGCATAAAGTAACAGTTGTTCTCTACCTTCCTCCCTTCTCCCTTATATGCTGATCAAAACCTGATTCACCAAGAGAAGAATATGATTTTTAAAAACAATATCCAAACTGGAATCAAATATCCTATGAACAATACTTAAACTTCCACTCTTCTTTCAATATTTTTGTAAGGGCACCGACTTGGAGGCAAAAAAATGCAATTCTGATTAATGGGAAGGGCATCTTTCACTTTTTGACAAACATCACAATTTCCCTTAAGCCCTCCTCTAAGGTTGGAAGGAAGCAAAGTAGAGGAATCAATTAGTTATGTGAACCAATTAAAAAATCTTGGAAGATAGCAATTCTTGAAGTGGAAAGGGATTGATCATGAGTTTGAGAAATTAGCAAAGAAAACAAGAACCGAAAACCAAGCCTGAGAAACAAACAAATGTGAGGATATTCTCCTGAAGGATGCTTCAGCCTTTACAACTGCCCAAAGGGTATCCCATTCTCTAAACCACATCACTCCAATTGAGTTCATCTATTAATCCTGTGCAAAAGAATGGTTTTGATCCTGTGATTTAACTAATAACTATGAAACTGGATATGTAAGTTGGCAAAGATTCAATACCATATATAACCAAAAATAAAAATATAGAAGAAGATGAAGAGTGAAGCAGGAGAAGAAAAACAATAACTTAAATCTTTAAATTTATGCATATATAACTTGAGTTATCAATTCATAACAGCATATATAACTCATGCCCCAAAACATTAAATTTGAAGGAAAAAAAATGTTACATTAAAACTACAATTTGAGTGCATGTTGTGCTTCAATAGCAATCAAGTACCTTGGAACAGTCAAAGGAAGGAAAAGATGAAGTGTAAAAGAGTGAAGATAGATGATAGAGAACTGAATGAAAATTAAAGCGCTTTTGCATTTAATATGATTTTGACGTTAGCGTGGCTCACGCAAACTCAACGGATATAGCTATCTTGTCTTGATTCTTGGAAGTTATGTCTAAAGTGTGTTTAGCTTATTATAGAAAAATAAATATTTTTTTAGTAACTTCCTCAAATGATTTTTTTATTTTAATAAAAAGTACAAATATTTTTGGGAAATATTTTCTCCAACATGCACCTAATTTTTAGAAATGCAAAAATTTGGATATAATATTTTTCTTTTGATGAATGTGCATAACATAGCTTCTTCAGTTATTCAAAATTCTCTTATAATTGCTGAATATGGATTGAACTCTTCACAATCCAATTAAGTATCATATTCAGTAACTATAATATATTTATTAGATAAATAACTCTTCATTTTAGCAAAAAAGACTTGAAAAAAATAAATATTATAAGTTTAATATATAAAACTATATATTAAATTTTTTTATCACTATTTAAAATAAAATTAGTTTATAAATATATATTAAAACAACTAAATTTAAATTCATATTATTATATTGAATATATAATTATAAATATATATAATAGCTAATTTCTTTTGAAATTTCAAATTTCTTAAAATCTTTTTATTTTAACTGTTATTGCTTATAAAATATTCTGAAGCAACCAAATTTAGATTCATGTTAATTTTATTTTATGTATTTATTGAATTAAATTGAATTTTTCTTATTATAAATCATTAATTAAAAAATAAAAATAATTAGTATTATACAACTTAATAATAAGATCTTTTATATATTAAATAAACTAAGTTACGTTTTTATTTTAATAAATAAAATAAAAAATTGAAATAGTAATAATAATATCTATATTTATTTAAATATTTTAATTTATTAATCTTAAAATCCATTTTAGATAGTTTAAAATTTAACTTTTTAATTAAATTTTTTTCAAAGTACCACAATAGAGCCCGATTTCCAGCCCTAGTTGGGATGATTCTCACTTGTGTTTATCCATTACTCCCATATTTAGAAAAGGAAAAGCATAAAATGACAAAATGAACCATTTCCTCCAATGGGAATATAATAAATTCACTTTTTCTTTGGAGGAACTCTAGCCGTTGAAAAATCTCTTCGTGATAACTGATTCTGTCTATTATTTATCACGGCTATTTATTTTTATTAAAATACTTTATTAATTGATATAATTATAATTTCTAAATTCTATAAATTGCTATTAAATCTGTATATGTTGAGACAATAATGGACATTAAAATTTGGAAATTTAAACTATGGTTTAATCAAACCTGAAAATGGTATATTTAGAGGAGATGCTTGAACAATTAGGAACACTCTCCTTCTCGTTCAAATTTTACTTACCCTAAATCTTGAAAGACAAAATCTCCTGATCAATCTTGATAATTCTTAATTAATTAGGTAAAAGATGATCATATTTTTATCTAGTTAACATACCAATAAGATAAATTGAATCTAGAGTTTTGAAAAATGAATCAAAATTTTAAGTTTTTATATTAGTTATTTAATTAACAAATTTATTGAATCCTCTTATGAATTAAGGCAAAAAAAATTGGTTATTATTGTGGGTGGGTCGTCTTACTTTATATTCTTAATATTATAAGTTACACTCCAATCAACCATTTTGTTAGTCTCAATAATCATGAATTCGATAGACCTAATACTATACTTGTCTAAAAATCAACAAATATTCATTAAAACGATATAAACTCTCAGTGAAAGAATACAAATTTTTTAAAAAATTCACAACAAATATATTAAGAGTTATAATAATTATTTAACATTTTTGTGCAAACATATAATTGGCATCAGAATAACTGCAATGACCACAACTTTAACCATAACTGAAACCACAACTTTCATATCCAATATACCCTCCCAAGTCCCAATATAGAATTGTTGAAGCTTATCACTTGGTGATAGATAAAGAGAAGTCATCATCAGTCATAGCCCTTGAGTACAAATCTCCTTCACTAACATAAGAAGAGAATTCATCTTCACTATCCCTCTCCTTTAGCTCCTCAATCTTGGCCACTGCCTCTCTCCAATCCCACCTAATCTCCACATTCCATTCACAACAATACATTCCAATTCTCAACAGCTTCAGCATCTCACCTTCACCATTCCTAGTCCCCATAATGTCCTTATCAAACACCTCACCAGTCCACTCTTCCCTCACAACTGAGTCAACCCATGTTGCCAAATCAACATTCCCTCCTTTCCCATGTCTTAGATAATTTGCTGGGAACTTCCCCGTCAACAATTCCAATATGAGGATTCCTAAACACCAAACATCACTTTTCTCATTAGGCCTATCAAATTGGTTCACCTCTGGAGCCTTATATGCTGCCATGAACTGTTGAGCATGGCTCTTGTTCATCACTGGCACAAGTCCATACTCAGTCAAATGTGGCTCAAATGAATGGTCAAGCACCACATTGGAGGATTTAAGGTGACCATGAGGTAGATTTTGTCCAGGGAACTTTTCATAGAGATAAGCTAAGCCTCTAGCTACTCCTTTTATGATTTTCAAACGAGTTGACCAGCTTAGTACAGAGCCATTTCTACCTGCATGTCAATGTGAAAATTGCTAGTGGTCAATTTTCTTTATGTTTAGAGCTGTACTAAACTTTAATTATGATAAATTTTCATGCTCTTGATCAGCTGTTCCAAAAGCTCAAGCTTTTATTATTTGCATAACAAAATGAATTAATTCAAGTGATAAAGATTGATGAGCATGATTAATTCATTAATTGATTGAAGCCAATTAGATTATCATACTCTATTTATAAATAGTGAGGAATGCTAGCAACACGTTCTTCAACACACTTCCTGTAATTGATCAGTTTTAGAAAAGTAAAACTACCTCATAAATTGATAACTTTTTTAAGAATTTCTTGCTCAAAGTGTGTGTTGCCAGCATCCCTTGTAAATGTTATATTAGTTACTATCATAGAATGAAACATTGGCATACCATGTAGATGGCTAGCCAAGCTGTCATTTTCACCAAAGTCATAAACCAAAAACTTCTCTTCTTTTCTGTAGTAGAATGCAACAAGTGGGAGAAGATTAGGATGTGTCAAACTTCCAAGCCTCTGCATGTGCTCAAAGAACTCCTGTTTCCCAATATTGTTCATATGCCTAAACCTCTTCACAACCACAGATGGTCCATTCAAAATCATTGCCTTGTAGGTGGACCCAAAACTGCCACTACCAAGAACAACAGCTGAAGCTCTAAGCAGGTCTTGCAAATCAAATCCCCCTCTACCTTCCCTAACAAAGTTCAATTCTACATCATCACCCTTCTTGAAATCACTTGTCAGATCAATGGATTGTGACTCCTTGAAGCTTGCATTGTTCTGGGAATTTACCTGCTTGCCTAATGTTTCGGGTTGCAACCTTTTTCTCCTGTTGCTATGGATAAGCACAAGTGCTACTATTGATGCCAAGACAACCACAGCCACCACTACAATGACAGTAACAAGGATAAGGTGCTTCTTTCCCTTTCCTTGAGTTGAAGAAGCTTGATTGGGAATCACAGATTTAGTGTTGTCGGGCGTGAAGCCAGTGTTGTTGCAGGGGCTTATAGGTGCTCCACATAGGCCTTCGTTGCCTGTGTTGCACGAGAAAAAATAGATAGAACATGTATATAAGTTAACATCCAACAAAAAGAAAAATAAAATCATTATCTACTATCCAATCTAAAATATCCTCTTCAAAGGGGGGGGGGGGGATTGCATCTAAGATATCTTTGAGGAGTAAGTGTAATTGAAAATTGAATGGACGATCAATGAATGACTTGAATTTTACAGTCGAAGGCTGATGCATACACCTGAATCCAATATCCAATACCAGTAACATATCTCTGTATTTGGAAATTAAGTATATAAAGCTTCATGTGTATGTATTAAATCTCAAGTTTTTATATTCCTCTTAGAATATTACATTAACCAGGAACACAATACCTCATTGAATTTTTCAAATAAGTTGAAAATCAATGGTAGATGACTAATATTTAACCACCCCCCCCCCCCCCAAAAAAAAAAAAGGACAGAAAAGAGTGCCACTATTAGCAAAGTGAGTTGAGGATCAAATAAACACAAAGGATATCAAGATTATTGTGCATCTATGTAATTTAAAATCTATTCTCTGGATAAAGATGCCACAAGAGTTTCCAAATGTGCTATAAAATTTTGTCTATGATCTACGAAGTAAGGAGTGAATAGGAAATAAGGGTTTAGTTTGGCGAAGGGGTGAGATTCAAATAACTTATCAGTGAACTTGGATTTTCAAAACAAATAAAATGAAATAAAACTCAATGTAATGAGAATCCACAAACAAATTAAAAAATAAGCCTGTTAATGAAAAAACAGAAATGAAAATTTACTTACCAGCAAATGAACTTGTATTCATGTTGCTTAAGCTTTCTGGTATTTGACCCTCCAATTGGTTATACGATAAATTAAAAACCCTGAAAACCTTTTGTTGAAACTCTGGTATGTTTCCTCCAAAACTATTTCCATGTAACTCCAAATCCAAAAGTCTAGGCAAGTTAGCTAGTGACTTAGGAATGTGACCTGTGAACCCATTTTCAGCCAAGAATACTCTTTTCAGAGTTTTCAAGCCCTCAAAAGCATCATCAGGAATTTCACCAGAGAACTTGTTATTGGAAAGAAACAACCCACTTAACTTGACCATTTTTTTGAACTCAGGAATTGGACCCTCAAATGTATTGTTAATCACACTAAAACTTGTCAAATTTGACAATTCTAACAAGGTGTCTACATCAACCTTCCCACCTAGTCCCATATTCTCTAGTCTCAAGCCATAAAATGTTTGGTCAGGCTTGCATAATAAACCAACCCATTTACACAAATTAGGCTCATTCCCCCAGTTGTTTAAAGCATTGTCATTGGACAAGGAACTTTTGAACCTTATCAAAATTTGAGCATCTGTGTCTCCCAATGATGGCACAAACCAAATGGACAACATAGAGAGCATGAGAAGGCAATAGTATAATGTTCTTTTATGAGCCATAATTAATCGAGCAAAGTTTGATCCAAAATGGATTTTTGGGTGTTGAAGAATGAAAATAGGGAATGAGAAAAGAACCATTGAGAGTTGAAAGGGAGTGTGCATAGGAAATTAAGATTGAATGGTTAAAGGGGTGAAATTGACAATGTCCTACATGCAAAGAGTGAGTTGGTTAGGCCGGCCATATACCAGTATTGATTTGATTTTGGACCTTGTTTTCGATGGTACTTTTGTTTAATAGCATATATTATAAGTTTTTTTTCTCGTTGATGATTAAGATGGTGTCTTTTACTACATTGGCCGTTGCTAAATAAGTTAAAATTTTATGTTACTTTTATGTGTCTAGTGTGCTTTGTTATATTCTGATGTTAGGATGGTATTGTATGTGCCAAGTGTGATCATATGTGCCACTTTCCTTTCCAACAATGATGAGAACTAAGAACTTACTAATATGCTATATGCTATATGCTATATGCATGCAACATTAGTATTATGCAATTACCGAAAGAGAACAATCATACATGTATCCGATCATAGAAGAATTTCTTTTAGAAAACAGAGAGGCTGGCAAAACAATCTTTTTCTATTATTTATTAAGATGCTTTGATTGGATTTGGAGTCAAATAAAGAGAAAATAAATATAATAGGAAACAAGAAAATTTATAAAACAAAAAAAAACTCTAATTATTTGAATGAGTAAGAGGGTAAAAAAATTATAATTTATTTATAATTTATGGAAAAAAAATTGCATAAGTTTCACCATGTAGACCATAACAAAATTTCTCCAATGCCTCCTCTCCTCTTCCCTTCTATTTATGTAGATTATTCATTGGTCTCATTCTCTCTCAAAACCTCTCCACTAAGAGTCACCTTATTCCATTATTTGTTCATATATGATATCAGGTATTTAATTTAGTCATTTGTTATGGTTATCTTTATTTTTAGTTTCGAGATAAAAAAATATATTATTTGACTAATATTATTTCCATAGTTTTTACTCAGTGACATATATTTGTTATTCTCTGTTTCCAATTTCGCTCATCAATGATGTTTACTACATGATTAGCTACAAAAGTAGTTAAATTTTTAGTTTATAAATTATGTTCTTTTATAGATACTTCTTGTTAAATTAAAATTTTAAAATATTTATTTGTAACCGAAGTTATAATTAGGAGTAAATAATTGTTAATTTCTTATTTGAATTAGTAATTTGTTATTTAAATTAAATGTTATACTAAATTGTTATTTAATAGTTGTATTTTTTTGTAATTATAATTTAATTTAACTTTTAAAAATTTTTATTTGATATTTTTATATAATATATTTTAAAAATTTTAATTTAAGTTACTGATTTGTTTTTTATATTTAATAATCATGTCTATTCATTAAAATCAATCTTGAGATAAAAAAAGTTAAACAAATAGCTAATTTATATTTTTTAATTATTAGTGAATATATTTTTTTCATTAATTTTTTTTCACAATTTCATTTAGCAAATGCTTATTAAATTTATAATTTAAATTACTATTTTGATGCAGATACAATTAAAGGTCGTCGCATACTTAAGAAGAAACTTGAAAACTTTATGTAAAGATTTAGACTACAAAATAAGTTTTTGAGAATTAAAATTCACTTCTCCTTCTAAGAATTCAATTTGTAATCTAAGAATTAATTTTAGTTTACTTAAATTCTAAAAAAATTTCCAGATCCAATTCATAATTTGTAGATCTAAACATCACAAAAACATTATTAAATTATATTCTAGCACTTGCACATAAAACTTATATTTATGATATTTAGTAAAACAAAAAAGGAATATTACAATGTGTACCTGATCAAATTATTTTGAAAAGAAAAGTTTATTTTTATCAATTCTTGAAGAAAACTTTTAAAATAAACATTTGATTATTATTCCAAAAATAATTTCAACCAAAACATACAGAAAATAATGGATGGACCATTTGCTAAGTATCTATTAGGTTGGTTATTTAAAAAATTGAACTAAAATTAGTAACATATCCTTAATCATAAGAACCTAAGTTTTTCTATCTAGTAAACTAAACCAAAACCTTTGCTTAACAAAGAAAGATAAAAATCATATACTTAACTAAAACAAACTAAACTCGTGACTATGATTAGAAAAGGTGAATTTAGTGGCAAAAACAGAGCCACGTGTCAGAAATCAACTGGGAAATTAAGTGGTAACTTCAGTTTCTACCTTGCTCGTGACCACAACGCCAACTTTCCTTCTCTATGTTCAATCCACCAATTATTAAGCTTAATTATACTTTTAATTCATATATTTAAATTTATATGCAATCTTGTTTAATTTTAATTGCTTGTATTGTATTTATTTTTTGAAATTTTTTAATTGGTTTAATTAAGTTTTCATTTTAAAATTTTATTTAAAAGATAATAAAAATATAACAATCATATAATATATCTCACTCTATTAGCGTCATCTTAAGAGGTAAAATAATCACTAACATTTTATATGGCATTGCAACATATATAAACAGGTGTCCTAAAAAATGGCAAACGTGTATTTAATACTAAATATAATTTTGTAAACTTCACTTATCATATTTGAATTTAAAAAACTAACAATAATATTCTTTAAAAAAAATATGTATTATACTTTTAAATTTTAATATAATAAACACATCTAATAAAAAATTGTTATTTTTATATGCTTAAACTAATTTTTAAGAATTAAAGTTAATTAAACTTATTAAAAATATGAACGATGATCCATTGTCTAAACCTATTCATCTTTCACTACTCTTTCATTTTGCTGTGGGGATAAGTTAATAAGAGTTTTCTTCCTTCTATATTTTTTTACGATGATTGAAAAATATGAAAAGGAATTTGATACAATCCCGTGAAAATAAATTGAATTAAATTACATATGTATAAGAAAAGGAGGGAAAATACAAATTATTGAACAATTAGATTATAAGAGACTTTTGTTTCTTTTTTCCTTAGATCTTTACTAATTAAATACCCTAACGATATTGGTAAAAGATGAATAATAAAAGGTTTTTTTATTAAAAATAATGTTAAGATTTATTAAAAATTATAAAAATATATATTAACAATATTTTTAATCCTTTAACGTCCATAAAATTCTATTTATTATTTACTTTTCTTTAATTTAAAAATAAAAAAGAGTAATGATAAAAACATACTCTCTAGTACATTCTTTACTGTTAATTAAAATTTATTAAAAATTTATTAAAATTTATTAAGCATGTTTTAATCTTTTTTTTTATAAATTAATATTTTTCTTGTATTTTTTAAATTTTTAATAAATTTTAATTAATAATAAAAAAGTATATTATTAACGTTCTTGTTGAGAAGAAAGTTTAACTATTTCAAATGCTAGCAGGCCTTTTGAATAGGGATTGACATACAAGAAAACTAAAATGGGGTTCCACATCAATGTTTGTTTCAACTTTCATCCCTCCTAAGCCATGAATAACCTTCCCTAATTTCATTAACTATCCCTCGAAGAGCTTTCTTTATTCATAAAAACAACACACACAAAAAAGTAAATTTTTCTGAATAATAATTTTGAAAAAATAATTTAAAAAATTATGAAGTATTTTTTATATGTAAGCATATGAAAAAAAATATGTGCAAATTTAAAAAAAAAATAAAAAATAATATATATATATATATATATATATATATATATATATCATGTCAAATATAATATTGAAAGTTTAGTATTCAAATAATAAACCTCATACAAAAAACAATAAAATAATTTTGATACACTCTCAATACAACAGTTTTTATGCTATCAATTAAAATTCATTATATGTTTGACCTTCAAATAGTTATTATAAAAACTTTAAATACGTACTTGTTTATTTTTAAGTTAAAAGACAAATCGCAATTTAAATACACATTTTAATTATACTCAACCTTTCACATACACTTGTTTTTTCTAAGGAATATTTACTTCTAAAAAAAGTTATATATATACATATATATCTGATATCATAGAGCTTTTATTCTTGGCTTAAAACTGAAACCTCTAGCACAAGGCAAAGTGAACACTCACGAGACAAAGCAAGGTTTCTACCTTTTCTTGTGTTTCTCCTCTTATTACTACTTCTCTTTTGAATGATACTACATCATTAACAACAAAAATAAACACAAACACAATCATTTCAACTCATTTTTCTCTCTCTCACTCAACACCCTCCATAACAAAGCCAACTATGATTAATCCTTCAACATCACCACACAATGACACAACCATTGACATTGAACCCTCAAGTAGAAGGGTGTCTTTTGCTGAGAACCACCCAAATGAAGAACAGTACCACCCCAACAATGTTCCCTTGCTCCTCCAGCCATCTTATGCAAGATCAAAGTCCATTATCTTTGATGAACTCAGAAACTTTCGCATTAGCCTCAAGTGGTGTGCACTTGACCACTCCTCATGCGTTGGAAAACTCATTTCCTACGTATCTTTCATCTTCTTCACCATCATTGTTCCCCTTCTCTCCTCTATATTTGTTCATGTTCCTGCCTCTGCCCCTGAAGATGATCCTATCTCCTTCAACAAACTTGTACAATTGCCAGAATCTGCCCTTGCCATTATTGCCTTCTTCACTCTCTCAAGTTTCTTCAGAAGGTATCAAAACACCTCATCATAAGCGTGTGTTTCTGTTGAGATTTTTGCAAAAACAGCATTTACACGTTTGAAAAACATGTTATGTAATAAAGGGTTGCATAAAATTTGTCAGATCTTCCGAAGGATAAGTCTCATTAGGATCAAATTGTATTTAGGACGTGTTTCAGTAAACAGTTTAAATATTTGCTTATTTACTAAGAGGTTAGCATATAAGTTTTATGATTATTCTTATTGAAAAAAAGTAAAAAAGCTTACAGAGTTGTAAGTTGTTTTAATTAGTTTAATCTAACTCAAAGTACCTCTAAGATGTGAAAAAATTAAATTAACTTTATGACAAACATCTCCTTAAGATAGGGTCTTTGTTTATTTTATTTGTTTAGCGTTACTCTTAATATTTGGTGGGTTTATTGCGTGATTTGTTCAGCTTATTTTGTGAAAATAATTGTTAACTTTTTTATCAGTTTATTGAAGGAAGTTTTTAAAATATAAACAATTTTTTTTTTTTTTATGTTTAAGTTACACTAAACACGGACCTTACATTTATAGTCCCTTTTAGGTACGATGCTATTCTGAGTCATTAAGGAAATAACGTTTTACATCACCATTATTAGTTATAGTTTTTGGTTAAGCTCTAAATTTAACAAAGGCTACGAGAGCAAGGTCAAGACTCCTACTTAACATCGGAAAAGATTGTTATATCCAAGTCAATTGATTCAATGGTATCAAAATAAAAGTTCAAAAATATCTTATAATTAGACTTGTTGAGAAAGTTTATAAACAATTTATGAAAATAATTTATAACTCTTTCAACTAACTTTAATAAGTTTTTTAGTATAACTTATTAAGTTGCTTCATGTCCACTTATACATTTGAAACATTCTTAAATAAGCCATCTTTGTCCATGCAGGTATGGCCTTAGGCAGCTTCTGTTCTTAGATGCTTTGCAAGAAGACACCACATATGTTAGACGAGGGTACACAAAGGAGCTTGAGAAGGCTTTTAGATACTTAGCATACATAATCCTACCCTCCTTCTTTGTGGAACTTGCACACAAAATCATATTCTTTTCAGCTGTTAAAATCTCAGCACCACATATCAGTCCTGGGTTCCCTCTTAATTCCATTGTATTTGTGTTGGTGTTGGTTTCTTGGGTTTATAGAACTGGTGTGTTTTTGTTGGTGTGTGTGCTTTTCAGGCTTACCTGTGAGCTCCAGATACTGAGGTTTCAAGGGGTTCATAAGCTCTTTGAAGGGTGTGGGTCTGAGGCAGGTGTGATATTCCAAGAGCATGTGAGGATTAGAAGACAGTTATGGGTCACAAGTCATAGGTATAGGTTCTTCATAATTGGGTGTGTGGTTACAATCACTGTTAGTCAATTGGGTGCTCTGTTGCTGGTTTTGGCTTCCAAGTCTGATAAGACATTCTTCAATTCGGGTGACCTTGTGGTAAGCTTTAATGTTCTGTTAGTAATATGTGTAGTTTGTTTTCAATTCACTTTTCAACACTCTTTGGTAACAGTGCAAAGGAGTGTAAAAGGGTTTAAATTAGTCTTTTAAAATGTGACATTGGTCATATCAATGTCTGAACATTGCTCATATACATTTAATCAATTATGTGTTCCATCAAGTCAAATTAATTTTCAGAATTCATGATATTTGGGCTAATTTGAGTGATGAAATGCATGCATGTCTCTATATTTTCAAGGATCAATTTGAAAATTACCCTTTTAATTTTAATTTGATGGCATGTATGGACAAAATAATTCCTCCGAATTGAGACATACATTTTTGTTATGCAGATATGTTCAGCTGTGCAGTTATGTGGATTCTTCATGTGCATTCTTGGCGCAGCAAGGATCACACATAGGGCTCAGGGAATAGTGTCAATTGCCACAAGATGGCACATGTTGGTGACTACTGCATCTGCTGAGTCAGAACAGTGCAAAGCTCAGGTTTCTGAAGGGCTAGCCAGTGACAGTGATTCTGATGATTCCTCCAACATACACATATCAGTAATCCCAAGACAACTTTCTTCTTTCCAAACCAGACAATCTTTAGGTGAGTTTTATCTCTACATAAATAAATTAATAGAACACATATATGTATGTGAGTTCCTAGATACACAGCCTAGTGAATATATCACTAAGGTTTCTAATTATTTAAAGTTGCAAAAGGAAAAAACTAAATACTTCAAAATTTTATTTAACTTTTAAGGTGATGCATTTTATAAAAAGGATATCTTTTAAAATTAATTTATTGTTAATAATATAATCATTACTATCAGGATTTTCTCCTGCAGATAATACTTGTAGTATAAAAAAAATTATCATTATTATCAATTCTCAATATTATAGATGAATTATTCACACCAATTATTTATATTTTAAGATTAATTGAATGAAATAGTATATTATTTAGTGATAATAAGATTAAAAATATTTTATTTAGACCAATTAAATAACCTCTAAATATATATGATATATATTTAGGAGGCATGTTATTTTATACATGCAGCTAAACTTAGTTTTCTTCTTTAGAGAAAATTGAATGTCTTTTACATGACTGTTTAAATTATGTACATAAATATTACAACAAATAAATGATTTAAATATGTTTTTAGTTGTTATAAATATAATTTAGCAGTTTAGTTTTATTTAAAAATATTTTATTTTGATTTTTATAAATTTTAAATGAACAATATACAATTTGGTTTGTGAAAGTAGGTTTTTTATTTATTTGTCTTTGAAAATTTTAATTTGTATAATTTAATCCTCTAATATGTTAATTTACACACATTTCACAGTCCTCCCTTTACAAAACTGTAAGTAAAATAAAAATAAAATGTAAGCAAAATTAATACATTTGGATATCAAATTGTACTCAATAAACTGTTAAGGACCAATTAATTCCCTAAAGTACTAAAGTGTGATAAGTTAATGCATCCGAGGACCGTTTTGTATAAAGAAACTTTTAAGGATCCAAAGTAAGCAGATATCATTTTCAAAAACCAATTTTTGTATTTACTTATTTTGAAACTTAAATTTTAAAATATTTTTTAACATTAATTAGTGATAACATCCATTTAATTATATATCCTGCATTAGTGACCATTTTTAGGTAATATTTAACACGATATATTTGATTATTAAATGGTAACAATGAAAATTTTAAAATATTAAAATTAACAACAAGAAAAGATTAAGTGTATGTTTAAGTAAATAATTTAACTAAATATATATTCAATAAAATTTATTAAATGGAGATTATAATACAGATTTAGTTATAAAATTTATTGAAATAAGACAATAAGATTTATTTTGATAAATCATATTAAAATAAACTAAAAATATGTATGAAAGATATAAATTAGTTTTACAAATGTCACAAACTCTTTTCAATGCTGCTTAAAATCCATTAAGTTTTATTTATAATAACTAAAAAAATATTTTATCTAAGGAAATAATAAAAGGAAAAAAAATGCTAAATATCTTGATTGTGTTTGATTTTTGCAGTGACATATTTACAACACAACCATGGGGGAATAACTGTGTATGGGTATTCTCTTGATCGTGGATTGCTTCATACTCTGTTTGCCTTTGAGTTTTCTTTGGTGCTTTGGATTCTGAGTAAAGTGGTTGTTTTGTCCTAACCAAATATAAAAAAGGCTTTACATTTATTAAGGAATATGTATTAATATCTCATTTGGCAATTATTATTTTTGAAATTACTTCCTATGTATGATGTTAGTAAATAAACATTTCCATATAAAAGAGAGTTATTCTACAACTTTGTAGAATTGAAACTTACTCTGCCCAATTAATTCTTTGATTTAGATGTTTTAAGAGTGAGATAAAAAAAATTTAATATAATAGAGATCAATGTAAAAAAATAAAAATAAAAAACAATTTTTTTTTTATGTTTAGTTGAATTGAAAGTAAAAAATAAATGCATCTAAAATATATATGTAAGATTATTTTAATTCTCACAACACTAAGAAATCTACTTTGCAAACATCTATTCTCCTAACTTATCTTTTTTACAAAAATTAAATTGAGTTATTTTTTTCATATTTATTTTACGGTAATTATTGTTAATAAGAAGGAAAAACAAAAATGTGATGCCATTTCAACAGATCTTCCGTACAAGTTGATTTTGCACTGGCTCTCTAAGATCTTTATTATTTATTTATAAAATATTAGTTAAAAAATAGTGCTTAAAATATATACACATATATATTTAGTTATAAAAATATTATAAATTTGTAATCAATAATAGGAGTAGTCAAAAAATTCAATTTCATAAATTCAATCCATAACCAATGTCAAATTGGTTTTAAAAATTTAGATTTATATTAAACCAGTTTTTTATTAACTATATTTGTATAACCATTTTAATATCTAAATCTATTTTCTAAAATCAGATTTATTTTTAGTTATCCAAATTCATATGTATGGAGTAACTTTATATTTTTATTTACTAAATTTTGGCGTTATATTAATTTACAAAATTTTATTGTAACTATATTTTACTATTACTATATTTTTATTAATCTTAATTCTTATAATTAAAATATTTAAAAATATTAAAATATAACAAATATTTTTAAATTAGTTACTACTGTTATTTTTATATTTATGTTTATTTTTTAATTTTTAAAATATTATAACATAAAAATTTTATTATTATTTATATTATTAATTTTTATTTTTATAGGTTTTAATTTAAATTTTTATTATAAACTCCATTTATTAAAAATAAGTTAAAAATAATAATAAATATTTTATATACTTCTATAAAATATAATATATTAATAAATATTGTTAAAATCTTTTTGAAATGAACTATTTTAATGTAACATTTGTATAATAAATTAGTTTTACCTTAAAAATATAATTCACAAATATATTGAAAATCAATTTTGCGTTAAAAATTAAATTTAAAATTAGATTTAAAATTAATTCAACGTAAAACCAAATTTGAAACTAGTTTCAACAAAAATTAAATTTAAAACCAATTTTAAACTAAATTTAAAATTTAAAACTTTTTGAACCGATTAAAAAAATTAAATAAAATAGTTTAAAATTTAACTCATATAATTAATTTGTGTGATGGATAGATGATATAAAGTATAATATATCTAAATATTTATTATTTTAATAAAATATAAAATTAAAAAATATTATTAAGAAATTAAAATATATGCAAATACTTTCTTAACATATATTGTTAATGTAATGGGTTAGAATACTATTTATATTCATATTTTATCTTTAATAAATGTTGATACTTAATAAATATATATATATATATATATATATAATGTTATATTATTTATTTAAATATTTAAATATAATAATTTAATAATAATTAAAAAATAATTATGGTATATTTTTACCATATGTAAAAACAGTTTAAAACTAATTTTAAACTAAATTCAAATTTTAAAACTAATTTTAAACTAAATTCAAATTTTAAAACTAATTTTAAACCGATTTTAAAAAAATTAAAATGAATTGATTTATAATCCAATCTATATAATTAAATTTTAAATAGATTTAGATTGATTTTTTTTAAAAATTCAATCCACGAACACACGTAATCAATAATTATAATTCTGCATTTCATCTTTGAAAAGTGAGGATTTACTATAAAAATTATTGTAGGTAAGATTAAATAAAATAAAGTAAAAGTGACTTCATGGCCCAATGGATAAGGCGCTTGTCTACGGAACCAGAGATTCTGGGTTCGAACCCCGGTGAAGTCGTTTACTTGATTTTTAGGCTTTTTTACTTGCCTCATCAAAGCCAATTGCATTTTTCCTAACTAACAATAATTTGTTCCTTAATATATGTAAAGTTTTGCAATTACAATTTTAAACTTTCAAATAATTTGAAGAACTAGAAAAATGGGTCTTAATCTTTTGTGATGAAAATAAAATAAATGTACATGTTAAAATTTTTAAACATGCAATAGATCATTATATCTATATTGCTCAAGTTAAATGAGACTTAAACGAAAAATATATCTTTGAAATTTTCACATAAGTAATAGATTATTTTACATTCTAATTAAGTAAAAATTACACATCATGTGAATATATATTCAATAATACGTTATATTGAAATTTAATCATATATACTATTTTTAAATTTATAATTTTTATAAATACATTCAATCTGTTTAATTTTTCAAAATAGAGAATAATTTAACAAAGTGTGTAAAAAAGGTCATATTTTTAAAAGAAAAAATGATACGACTAAACAATGCTTCCATGTGAATTAAGTACTGTATTAAATAACTTCTATTTAATGTAATAAGTATGAAATTGTCTACTTGAAAGCATTAAAATTTTCAGAAATTAATAATTTGGATTAGAAATTCATAATAACAGTTTTAAAATAAAAATAAATACAAATAAAATTAATAATTTTCGTTAAAAATTACTTTATTTTTACTATATGTACACAAATATATCGTTGATAATATTGCCTATAATTTTGTATTTTGAATATTACGTATACTACAATTTTATTATTATACTATTAAATATATTTTTTATGGTTAATAAATCTTAATTATACAATTAGTAAATTTACATTAAATTGATCTATTATTAATATCTATCATAATTTTTTTTGTGTGTCTTTATCTATCTTCATTAGATCAATTACAATGAAAAATCTCTTCATTTTAATTTATATTCTTACTTGTAGATCATTCGGATGCCTTTCATACATACCAATTGGCTTCAAATACAACAGACTTAACATAGCTTATCTCAATTCTTTATGTTATAATTTATTGAGACATGAAGTGATAGTTATCCATATGTTAAGCAATTATCAATTTGTTAGATATAGTACTTTTGTTCAACTTTATTAAATCATTATTATATATAAAAGTCAATAATTTTAATAATATTTTCATATTTTATATTATATTTCAACAATATTTACTTTTAGATGATATATTTTTTTGTTTGTAACAGTCAATTTATCACTCATGCATCAACACAGGTCATACTAGTAAGTATAATAAAAAAAAACAATATTTAACGTGGAAAACTTTCTAATATGAAGAAAAAATATAACATAAACTCTAAGAAATATTTTATTATATCAAAAAATAATTATAATATCATTTTCGATTTCTCCTCACAAAAAGTACAAAATATAGTATTTTCTAATTTGACTCGTTCGTATTCAAATACTATACATTTTACAATACTAACGAGTTACAGAGATGTTACGCAACTCGGGGCATTTTTCTCACACTCTGGAATATACTCTATTTTTCTCTAGTTTCAAGAAATTTTGACTTTTTTTCTTTTTGTTGTTGAAAAGCTTTGTTTTACTTCGACTCCATTGTTTCCAAAATCAGTATTCACAAGATAAAAAGTGATGTAAGCAAATGATTGACACGTTTTAAAGTTAAGACACCGTAACTATGCAATCCCACTTGGGATACAAGCCTTGCACCTTCCCTCCCTAAGTTTTAAATGGTGACGAAACATTTTAACCCACAGATTCAATGCTTGGCTGAACCCCACTTGGGATAGAAAGATACGTATGTTATACGTATCAACTGGATGCCACAAATGGAAGCTAACACAAACTAAAAATGTGCGCACCGTTCCCTATTATTTTTTGTGGAAAAACAACACCTTTAAAGTGGGTCACAATCTTCACTTCATTTTAACCTCAACATTGGAAATTTGTAATCAACCTTTTCTATATTTTGAGCAGTTCCACACACACCAAAACAAAAAAAGGTAAAGTGATGGTTATTATCTATAGTAGGCAAAAAAGCCTTGTTAAGCTGTAATAATTTACTTTCACACAAGAATAAGCAGGGAGCGGACACAAGTACAAAAAACACGGCATTCTCCCATGCTGCATTCATTCACGAAGAAGGATAGAAAATAATTATAAAAAGAACATTCTAAGGTTTATTTACACTCTTTGGAGAAGATCACATAGTTGCTTAAGGGTGTTAGAGAAATCTCCCAGGCTTGCTATGAGCTTGTCCCCTTGGCACCTGGTAAATTCAGTATGGTAATCCTCTACATTCTGTGAGCCAGCTCCCTTATAATCTGCCGCTGATTCAGTAGCAATTGCTTGAATCTCTTCTGCTAACTCTTGCAATTTCAGAGTCATTGTTTCCTCATTTTCTTCTCTGCTGATTGTTAACTTTTCTACACCGATCAGCTTTGACCCTTCGATATTATGGTTTTCATGAAGCTCTACTTCGCCAAGATTCTTTGGTGATATCAATGGGTGCTTTAGAAGCTTTTCTGCAGTACATTTCATCTTTGGTTTTGATTCCAGAAAGTCTTTCAAAAATTCTTCATCCGAATTATTCTCATTCCCTTCATCATGGCTTTCCTCAGGCTCTTGTTCAAAACATTTATTAAGCTTCTGCACTCGGTGTCTCTCAGATCTGCTTCGTTGCCTTTTTCGTTTGCACCCTCCTAATCATTAAATCCATCAGTCGAACATTTCCAAGCAGTAAAGAGACAATGACATACAGGTTACATGGTGATGCTCCAAATGGGTTAAAACAACTTAGTTTCATTCATTTCCTAAATAATTATATTAGAATTATATCTTGCTGCTAAAAATTTTGCATGCTATCATTTAATTTTCACGATTCAAGAACAGATTAAGTAAATTTGGCATCAAGATTGACAAATTGAATATTACTATGCTTACCGTTTTAAACTGCAATCATTGAAATATTACACTTATTAAACTGCCTTACCGTGGTTCACCATTTGGCAACAAGTTATCAATGTTTTAATGTTGAAATTATTATTGTTAAAAATAATGCCCAAGTACATTTTGTATGCTCCAGTCAGAGTTTTCTTCTCAACTAGCTCTGACTGTGTTCTAAGGAAAAAAGAACCAAACTCACTGTTAACTAATAAAGATCCAATTTTAGATATCAAGACTCTGGCCTTGTATCTATCCAATAAAAGTTCATTTATATCTTCCAATTATCTAGCCGCCCTATATATCTTCCAATTATCTAGCCGCCCTACTCTTTTTTGAAGGAAAAAAAAGAAGGGAATAACTACCCCACTAACTACAACTTTCTGCTTATCAATGTAAGGTGAGAAAACATTAAACACCAAATGTAGATTTGAAATTATATTAGTATACACAAGGCTATTGATTCATTTGTTGTAGAATATCTATAAAAAGGGTATCTGAAGATTCCTTAGGACTGGTTTCCATATTTTATAATATTACACTATTCATTTCCTTATTTAAGAATAGAATACCTAGGGGTTAATGTGTTGCAATTTGTAACATGTCATTAACACCATATACCATTATTTTATTTCATTATCCAGAGTTTGTTCTCTTTCTTCCTCATCTTCTACCTACATACCTATAACATCAACAATTTCCTTACAGTTCCCATTATTCATACATATTCTGTCTAAATAAGTTTTGTAATATAGAATCCCCTCAATTTCTTTTCATGAATTTTTAGTCATTAATGAGGGTCTCAATTCAACCCAAGGGCCCTAAGCCTACTTCCACCAACATAAACCCTAAACTTTCATATATCCCCCAATTCATTAAACAGTTACACAAATAATAGGCTCCCCCATTATTTTTTTTTAATAATCACCATTCAGCAACACTATCATCTGGCAAATATGTGCGCCCTTTAGAACTTGGGAATACATTTAAGCTTTAGCCTAAACTAACCAAATATTAGGTTAACAAAAACAACTCATTCTATAGTCTATACTAACCAAATATCAGGTATATACAACTAAGTTGTATGAATGCTTAGTGGGAAGCCACCCATTCTATGCTAACACAAACAACTCACCTAGATTTATCACCACAAAGACAAAAACAAGTTCAACTGGGTGATCCTACTATGATCATAAGTTCTTGCTATCGGCCAAGGTACAAAGCATAATTTCCACATTTCACTGCTCTATGTATAAATGCATTGAATAAGACTATTTCATCAATCACCGTAATTGATTGTAGCTTATAGTTCCCATAAGCTCTTTTGAGCTTATTTCAATAAGCTTATATATGACTTATCAAAATAAGCACTTTTCAACTTACCCAAAGAAGTTTTGTACTCAAATTTTTAAAATTCTTCCTATAATAAAAAGTGATCATTGAATAAGCACTTAATTAAGCATTATTCCGTAATGCACCCAATAAGTTCATATTATGTGCCCTCACGCCGACATAAAAAAAACCAGTTTATCTTTGAGAAACGAAAAATAGTAATTTCGATATTTCATGGACTAATGTAGTCAACACAAAATCTTTCCTCACTTCATAACACAGGTTGGTTCAAAGTCACCTCTTCTACATACCAAAAAGAGTAATAGTCCCTCATTAGTTCCGAATTTACAAAATCATCACTGTAGCAATTAAAATTATCAAAACATGCCACTTTATTTAAATAACAAAAATAAAAATATGACCGACATTTAGTAATTTCAAAGAGCAAACTAACATTTCGTAACACAGCGAAACGGTACGTACCGATTTCGACGGTGGCATCACGCGCCTCGTTCCCTGCTTCGGTGTCGCTTTCAGGATCAACCTCGCCTCGCTCTTCACGCGATTTGACAACCCGCTCAATCGCCCTAAACAATTCGGCGTCAAAATTGGTTGGCAACCTAAACTTGTTGTCGCGGCGCGTGGTTTCCCTGAACCTGTCGTAGTCAGAGAGCAGCGCATGCCACTTTCGGCGACACTGAGCCAAGTTCCGAGGAACGTCCAAGGCGGCGCAGTTATCGGCAATGATGTTCCAGCGTTGGTACGAGGATAGGGTTATGGAACAGTCGGCTTCCACCGCCGCCACTTCGTTCACCAGAATCAGCGATTCCGTTATGCTCCAATCTGGAGCCGCTTGAGACCGCGTGCGTCGAGTGCCTGAAACGACGTCGTTTCTGCCATCGTCGTTTTGCCTCATCTTCGCCTCAGTTAGATGCGGGAAGCTCCACCAGAAAGAGCAGCATTGTTGCCGCAACCTTGTCCAAAACCCTTTTTCCAATTCTTGCTGAAACGTCGACGTATCGTCAAACCACTAGCCTTTTAATACTTCAGAAATGTTTGTACCATTTTTTTTTTCTATACTTTAGACAACAAGTATGGTAGGACTACTAATGTTTGTATCACTTTCTAGTATTATCTTTTCTAACACAATTATTAAAATGTGTGAAAAAAATTATTAACTCAAAAATAAAAATTGTTAAATAAAAAGTGAAGTTTATGTAATTTTTAATAAATTTTAGTGTGTTAAAAAAAATATGTTTAAAAGTGTATTTCTAGCAAATTTTTGAAAGTTACTGATTTATTTAAAAAATTAAACACTTTTTCTTATAAATTTATCATGTTTTAAAAATTATTTTCATTTAAAAATAAATTAATTATAAAAATGTGTTAATAAGTGCTATTAATATTTCTCTATTAATATTATTATTTTTAAAATGAAGATTCGTGGTTAAAAGAAATAAGTCTAAAGCAATTTCACAGGGCCATGATTCCTTGGTCCAATTAGATACTGATTTGTAAATAGATAGCTATTGAAATTTTATGGTAGTTTCTAGAAATAGTGAGCTGTAATCATAGGTTGTAAATATCCTTTCTTGTAAAGAAATTGGTATTATTTTGATCTTATCCTAATTATGATCAATTGTATATATATATATATATCTCATTGCTTTCATCATACATTGAGAGAGAGAATTATTCCCTATCAGTGTTATATTTTGTTCCTCCTCTGTCTTTTATCGTTTTATGGTATCAGAGCTCCTCCTAGAGCTCTGCCCTTTGCAAATATTTTCTTCACCTCCCAACAGTCCAAAGAATACTCCAAAGAAGGATGATGATTCTGGTTTTGGTCCAAAGAATACTCATCAAGATCTAACTCTCAATCCTTCCAGTCCTTATTTTATACATCCCAGCGAAGGACCTACCTCTGTTGCTATTGTTCCAGTCCTTGATGGAACAAATTATCATTCCTGGTCTTGTGCCATTCGAATGGCTTTGATATCCAAGAACAAAATGGCTTTTTTGGTTGGCTCCATTCCAGTTCCATCTGCAACTGATCCACTTCATTCCGCTTGGGAAAGATGTAATAAATTGATTATGTCTTTGCTCTTAAACTTCATTTCTCCTTCCATTGCTCAAAGTGTGATTTTCCTCAAGTGTGCCACAGACATTTGGAATGATCTCCATGAGCGATTTTCTTAAGAAGATCTTCTTCGTATAGCTGAGCTCTAGGAAGAAATTTACGGGCTATCTCAAAACAACCGTTGTGTCTCTGATTTTTACACGGCTCTAAAGACTCTGTGGGAAGAACTTGATAATTACTGCCCATTTCCCTATTGCTCCTGTGAGACTAAGAAGTATCACCAACAGGATTTCATCATTAGATTTCTCATTAGACTCGATGAACGATTCTTTGTAGTTCGTTCTCAAATCCTTCTCATGGATACACTTCCAGCCATCAACAGGGTATTCTCTATGATAGTGCAACAAGAACGACAACTTCAAGATGTACCTCCTCCTTCTGCAAAGCCCAACACCTTCATCAACGTTGCTGCTCATCCTTACCCAGTGAAAGGTTGTGGCAGTGGTGGTGGTTCGTCGAATAAATCTGGCTCCACTAAGCAGTGTGCATACTGCAATCGTCCTAGACATACGATCGATGTTTGCTGGGAGAAACATGGCTACCCACCTGGCCATCCAAAATATCCTGGTCGTCCACGATTCAACAGTCGCGATTCTTCTTTCATGTTGTCTCCTCTCAAAACCCTATCACTCTTACTCAGGCCCAATATCAATCTCTCATGGCCTTGATCCAGCCACAACAACAAATTAAAAACTCCTCAGATGCTATTGGGCCCAACTCAGTCAATCAGTCCAACAGGGCTAATCTCAGTCAAATAAGCCCAAATCACCAAAAACGTCCTTTTGAGTTAAGTGGTAGCAAATTTGTTTTCTGCACCACACATCCACACACGACACAAATGCTTTTTCACAAATTCACATTCAGTGCCCTGGATCATAGATTCAAGAGCAACTGACCATATTTCTTCATCTTTGCATTATTTTTCTAACTATTCAAAAATAAAACCCATTCAAATTAACTTACCTAATCAAACTGTTGTCACAACCCATTTTTCTGGAAGTGTCCATTTTTCTCAAAACTTTGTGATTCACTATGTTCTTTTTGTCCCTGAATTCAGTTTCAATTTATTGTCAATATCTAAATTAATTACTTCCTTTAAATATATTCCCATATTTTATGATTTTTTTTGCACTATACAGGATAGGAATACGCTACAGATGATTGGTTTAGCTAATCTAAAACAAGGCCTCTATAACCTGGAAATTAATCAACAAGCCAAAGCCTTCAACCCAACCATATCCTCAATTAATAATAGAACTGTCTACACCACCTCATCCTCAAAGTTTTGGCATTATAGATTAGGTCATCTTTCCAAGAATCGTCTCAATATGTTACACGAACAATTTTCTTTTATTCCTACACAGTAATGAAAATTGTGACATCTGTCATTTTGCTAAACAAAAAAAAATAAAAAATCTTATTGTCCAAGTAATAGTAGAGCTTCTAAAGTTTTTGATTTAATTCACATGATATTTGGGGGCCATTTTCAATACCTTCTATTCATGGTGAAAAATATTTTCTCACTATAGTAGATGATTATAGCAGATATACTTGGATAGTCTTGCTAAAATCAAAATCTGAGGTTAAAATCTATGTCCAAAATTTCATTGCCTTGGTAGAAAATCAATTTGATTCAAAAATAAAATGTGTGCGTTCTAACAATGGTCCTGAATTTTTTCTTAAAGATTTGTTTTCTTCGAAGGGGATCATCCATCAAACAAGTTGTATTTATACCCCTCAACAAAATGGATGAGTTGAACGTAAACACCAACATATTCTTAACATTGCTCGTGCCCTTATTTTCCAATCTCAAATTCCTCAAAAATACTGGTCTTTCGCTATAAAACACTCGGTTTATCTTATCAATCGTGTCCCATCTCCAGTCATTAATAAACAAACACCTTATGAGCTTTTTCACAAGCACAAACTCGATTTTTCAATGCTCAAAGTGTTTGGTTCTTTGTGTTTTGCATCCACATATGGGTCACGACAAAAATTTGATCCTAGATCAAAAGAGGGTGTTTTTCTTAGATTTCAGATAGGAACAAAAGGTTACATAATTTTAGATTTTGATACAAAAGAAATATTCATATCTAGAAATGTAATGTTTTATGAGACAATTTTCCCTTTTGTTCAGATTAAGAATAATTTTAATAATACACAAGAGTCCTTTTCTATAATGCCAAAGAGCCCTCAAGTAATAGAAGATGGCCCAATAATTGAGCCCAATCAGGAATTTTCTGCATTTTACACCACCCAACAACCCAATACTCATCTACCAACGACACAATCACAAGAAACCCTAACACCAGTGTCATCTTCTTCGTCCTCACCATCACAAATGCATGAGTCCACCATTGATTCTCCTTCTCTCTCACCACAATCTCAATCTCCCATTATTCAACTGCCTGTTACCATTCGTCATTCCACTCGCCCACGTAAACCCAATGTGCGTCTTACAGATTATATCTACTCTATTGAGACTCAATCAAACCAATCATCATCAGCGTGTCTCTATCCTATTCAATCTGCCTTATCCAATATATCTGAGTCTACGCGTCACTACATAATGAATTTGTCCTCTAAGATGGAGCCCCGTAGTTATCAAGAAGCAATCTTGCAACAGTGTTGAAAGAGGCCATGAGGGACGAAATTGAGGCTCTGAAACAGAATGATACATGGGTTATTGTTGAAACACCCAAGAATGTGAAGCCAATTAGGTGTAAATGGGTATACAAGATAAAGAAGAAACTGGATGGGAGCGTCGAAAGGTACAAAACTAGGTTAGTTGCAAAGGAGTATTCATAAATCGAAGGTATCGATTTTTCTGAAACCTTTTCTCCTGTTGTTAAAATGGCCATCATTCGGGTCATCATGGCATTAGCATCCATCAACAAATGGGAAATTCAGCAAATGGATGTCAGCAATGCGTTTCTTCATGGGGATCTCGATAAGAAGGTCTTCATACAAATCCCTCCAGGTCTGCACGGTCATGGGTCATCTCAGTGTTGCAAACTGACGAAGTCTTTATACGGGCTCAAGCAAGCCAGCCGCAAATGGTATGAGAAACTCTCTAAAATATTAATTTCTTCTAGTTTTAAACAAGCTCATGCAGACCACAGTTTGTTTGTGAAATATAATGGTGGTAAGTTTACAACATTATTGATCTATGTGAATGACATAGTAATTACTAGAAACTCAAATTCTAAAATAGCCCAAATTAAACATATTCTTCATTCTAATTTTCGTGTGAGATTTAGGAAAGTTAAAATATTTTCTTGGTCTGGAAGTGAATCATTCTGACAAGGGAATTTATGTTTCACAACGAAAGTATTGTCTTGAATTACTTGCTGATTCTGGAATGCTGGGGTGTAAGCCAAATACTACACCTATGGATAGCTCATTAAGACTTCGTTAAGAAGATTCTAGCGCTTTACTTGATGATTCGATGCAGTACAGACGGCTTGTTGGTCGTTTAATTTATCTCACCACAACAAGGCCAGATATAGCATTTGCAACTCAACAACTTAGCCAATTCATGACTTGTCCAACAAAGTCACATCTTGGTGCTGCTAGAAGAGTTTTAAGATATCTTAAGAGTTGCCCGAACAAAGGTCTTTTATTCAAGAGAGATTCATTATCCCATCTCGTTGGTTTTAGTGATGTCGATTGGGCAACTTATATTGACACTAGACGCTCGATTACAGGATACTGTTTCTTCCTTGGGAATTCCTTGGTATCATGGAAAGCCAAGAAACAAAGCACAGTGTTTCGGTCATTGTCGGAAGCAGAGTATAGAGCTCTAGCCACTAGCACTTGTGAGTTGCAATGGCTATCATATTTGCTTACTAATTTACAAGTTAATTGCTCCAAGTCTGCAGTATTATATTGTGAC